CTTTTTCCTCTGCTTCTCCCTCAATCCTTTCTCTCTCTCTTCTTCTCATTCTGCCTCTCCCTCTATCCTTTCTTTCTCTCTCCTTTTTCTCTCTTTGTCCTTTCTTTCTCTCTCCTTTTTCTCTCTATGCCTCTCCCTCTATCCTTTCTTTCTCTCTGGTTCTCCCTCAATCCTTTCTCTCCTCTTCTCTCTCTGCCTCTCTCTACCCTTCTCCCTTCCCCTCTCTTTCTCTGTTTCTTTCTGTCTCTCTCTAGCTTCTCCGAGCTGGATGCCCCACGTGGTGGGGAGGAGGGACCCTCAGGACCCTGAGCAGCCAGAGTAACTTTGGCCAAGGCCCGAACCCCAGCTATGACCTGAATCCGAATCCTGGCCGTAACCCCCAGAAGGGGCTGATGGCCAGCATGGCCTCTCGATTCTATGACGTGGAGCAATTTCGGGAGTGGATTTTCCGTTTCTGGAGCTGGAACCTATATAGGAAAAACAAGTGAGCCCTCGGTGAAGGTCTGTGAGGCACCACTTGGGTAGTGAGTCACCTGATCCTAGAATGTCAGAGCTGGAAAGGCCTTTAGGGGCCCCGGAGTCCAACCCCTTAGTGTTCAGAGAGGGAAACGAGTCCACCCAGAATCACATTGAGTCATGGACCCAGAGCCACAGGCAGTCAGCTGGGGAAAGATGAGCCCATTTCCCGTATACCTCCAAGGGTGGCCCACACTATCTTGGAGCTCAGCTGCCCCCGGGCCAACCACCTCAAGGGTCCCATCCCACCTCTGGAATCAAGGGCTATGCTGGAAGACGGCATGACACCCACGCAGTCTTCTTGCCAAATCTGACCCAAGTACAAAAGTTTATGTGTGGGGGGCGGGGAACTGGGGCCAGAGTGTTGGAGCCTGTTATATAGAACCAGGTGTCCTCATTTCCCGATTAGGTGTGGGAGGGACTCCCTTCTCCCCATTTCCCAGCCACCCCTTGCCCACTCTGAAGGAGTGTCCCATTTCTTCAAACCAGAGTCTTCAGCTACACGTTGAAACACTATGGCCCCAATACTGCAGCTGCTCACTTTGTCCTGACCCAGGGGGGAGCTGTCAGGTAAGGAACCCAAGGCTTTTAAAGGGAATGGTCTCAAGGGGACTCTGAAAGGGAGATGTGGAGAGATTTGGGATATCTAGGGAACCTGATAGGGTCCCTCTGGATAATTGGGGGGATTTGGATTTGGGGACCCCAAGAGGGGTTCAGGGAGACTTGGGTTTGAAAGGAGGGAGGGAAGAAGCATTTACATGGCACCTGTTATGTGCCAGGCTTTACAAATATTATCTCACTTAATACAGGACTCAGGAAGTGGGATCCTGGGAGGACTTCAGTGATTTGGGACCTAGGAAGCTGGATTTGGAGACACTTAGGGGGCTGGTAATAGTGCTGGTAGCAGGGATAGAATATGCCTCAGGGGACAGAGTCACCCTGCTGACTTCCTTGCCTTGGCCCCTCAGGTTCCAGGAACAGGAGTGGCTCTTCCCCCAAGACAAGAACCAATTCCTTGGGAATAGTCATCACTTCCAGAAGCTGCCCCTGGAGGAGGTGGATGCCAGTGGCTGCCTCATCAACTACTACGGGCTGGAGAACTTGGGTGAGGGGCTGGCCGGGTGGACTCAGGGCAGGGCCTCCTCTTTGGAGAGGCTGAGAGTCACCTGTCTGTCCCTCCCCTCTGTCAGTGTTCCTACCCAGCCTGAGGTCTCTGAAGCTGTGTGGCTGCCCCTACGTGGATGACTGGTGCCTGAGCCGCCTGCACTCTCTGGGCGGCAGCCTGCAGGAGCTCTCTCTGGCTGGCTGTCCCAAGGTCACCGAGCGAGGCCTTGCCTGCCTCCACCATCTCTGGTGAGAGATCCCCCCAGGGCCCTGCCCTCCTCCCCTCTTGACCCTTCCCCTTCTCCAGGTGCCCCCGGCCTCCTCAGAAGGTGTCTTCGGGCCCTTCAAGGCTCAGAGTGGGATGAGATGATGTGGCCCTCTGGTTGGGTTTCCCTAGCCCCCCCAGGTCTGCCCCTTCTACCACCCAGACTTGTTACTGCAGGAACCTCCGGCGTCTGGACATCTCCAACCTTCCAGCTGTGTCCGAGAAAGGCCTAACCCGGATTCTGGTAGAGGAGATGCTGCCTGATTGTGAGGTAGTCGGGGCAGACTACGCCGACGGGCTGGTGCCCCTCTCTGAGGACGAGAGAGGGGTGGAAGAGAAGGCAGCAGCGGCAGTCCCTGGCGCTCCCAGAGGTCTGATGCCTACTTAGATACTCCGGGAGCCCCTCTCTCTCACTTCCCCAGGCACCCCAGCCCCAGGCTGCTGAGGATCCCCCATCTCCCTTCTACCTCCAGGGCAGAGAACACTGTGGAACAGAGAGGCACCATCGGGCATGTTGCCCAGAAGACCCTTTCCTTGTCTGCCTCACCCTGGGCTTATAGATACACCAGAAGTAAGGGGTCACCCCAAGGATGCTGGGGGGGAAGGGCACAGGGGACATTTGGCCTCCTTCCCCCACCCCTTTCTCTTAGCTTCTCTGTACCCCTGAATAAATGGGGGGTGGAGAGGCCCCTAATAGCCCCCCTCATACAGTTGTCCCCAGAATCCCCTCCATTTCCTCTTTGTCCTGAGATGGGGAGGGGCCTGGTAATTGGAGTGATGGACAGGACAGGAGGAACAAGGGATGAGCCGGGGATGAACCAAGGCGGTGATCAAAGCGGAGGTCTGGCAAGCCCTGGCAGCACCCCCTTGGGTGGTTGCCTCGGAAACCAGGGTGATAGACACCCCAGGAAATGCTGATGGCCCATCCCTCCTCCCTCCCAGCCTCCCCTGGGATGTGGTGTCTGAGTGCAGACCTGAGTCCATTAACTCCGGGCTGCACCCCCCACCCCCCATGGACTTCATTAGTCTGAGGGAGGGAGGGGGGCTGGAGCTCAGTCACTCCCCGAGGTCCCTCCCCCCTTCCTTCACACAGATAATAAACATTGCTGGAAGCCAGTCTGGAGTCGGGAGGCTCCCTCAGGGGTGGGGTGGGGAGGGTGTTGGGGAATGACGGTGGTGATGGAGAGGAGCAGCTTTCAGCTTCATAAAACACTTCACACACATTTCATTTATCCTCACCGCGAGGGGCCGGGGCAGGGCAGGTGCTATTATTTGTCTCCATTTTACAGATAAGGAAACTGGAGCCCAGAGGTGAAGTGATTTATAGTTCAGCTCATACGTGGTGGAAGACAGGGTTGGGATGGGAACCCCAGGCCGGCAGAGGCCTCTGCTCACCCTTCCCCCTTGACAAAGGAGAAGACGAGTGGATAGATTACTTGCCTTCTCCATGGGAGGGAGGGGGAGAATTGGGAGCTCAGAATTTAAAAAGATGAATGTTAAATAAATAAAAGATAACCAGTGGGAAGACCGAGAGTAGGGGTGGGGACTCCCCAGGGTCACGGGGTGGGGGAGGTAATCAGGGACAGGAATGCCGGGGTGTGCCCAGAGGCAGCTAGAATTGGCCTGGTCCCTGGCCCCTGGCTTCCCCCCTTCCTCTATGAGACATTCCTTCCTCCTCAGCACCCAGCGGGCAGTAGGGAAGTGTTTGTCGACAGTTAAGAGACAAGCCAGGGTACACGCACCGCAAAGGCCCCTGTGGATGTACTCTGATGCAAACACACACTGTTTCCCAAGGGGGCCGGAAATTCGTTAGTCACCGCAGGGAGAAGGTGAAGGGGGTGGTGTAGAGGGGTGGCTGTAGAGAGGTGTGGAGACCGGTCCAGGCCCGTCTAGGCTCCAGGTATCTGATAGAGCTAACTGGCGGGAGGGGAGAGGAGGGGACTGGGGAATCTGATGGGGGTGGGGAGAAAGTCCCAGTCCACTCCCCAATTGGGAGCTTTTCCGAAGATAGGGGAAAGAGATGGGAGGGGTAGAGCTCCTTCCCGTCCCTGCCGCCGTCTCACAGCTTCCCTGGGCCCCCTCATCTGCCTTTATCACCTCCTCTTCTCTCTCTTCCCGTGGACCAGTTCTCCCTTTCTTGACTCTCCCCATCAGGCCCCTGTTGCCTGGAGTCCCGTCTCCTTTCCCTGGGAGTCCCCTGCAGCCTCCCAGCTTCCGTCTGTCTGGCTGTGACTCTCTCCCTTTTGAATTTCCAGTTCCCTCTCTCCCAACACCTCTCCCGGGGTTCCCCATTTCTCTCTGTCTCTGTCTCTTTTCCCTCTTCTCCGGCTGGAGAACCAGCCCGTACACGCCCTCTCTCCTCCCGCCTCTCAGTCGATATCTCTCTAGGTCTCCTCCCCAGCCCCGCCCCTGCCGCTCCCTGGCCCCTGGGGGCTCCCCTGCTCCCCTCCCCTCCAGACTGACTCAGTCTGGGAGGAAGGCAGCAGCCGGAGGAGCCTGACCTGACCAAAGCTGGCGGGCCTGGGCCACGGCCCTGGCCCAGAAGTGAGTGCCAAGGGACCTGGATGCCTGGGTCCCCAAGCCCAGTGTCTGGGAGGGAGGGAAAGGGGCGCCAGCCACCAGGCTTCTGATGCAGAAACTGGGAATTGGGGGCCCCTGGGTCCTGGGGGTGAGGGATAGAGCAGAGGGACTGCCCCTGAGAGACTTGACCAAGGACCTGGGGGTCCGGGCCCCCTGCCTCCTGGAATGGACCTGGAATTCAGGGGCCCCAGGCCGGGGGGTCTGGCCCCACCCCTCCTTGACGGGACATCCCGCTCCGTTTTCCTTGCAGCTCCCGGGGACCCCCCCTAGCACCGGGGGTCCCCTGCCATGCGCTGCTCCAAGTGTATGCTTTGTCTCCTGGCTCTCCTCACCCTGCTGGCTCTCAAGGTTTACATCGAATGGAGTTCAGACCCTCTGTGGCTCAAGAGATACCAGGAGGGGCACGAGTCGGAGACCCTAACCAATCCCAGTGCCTCCACGTTCGAGCCGTCCCTTCCTGCCAACCTTTCTGGGCGCCTGGGCCAGCCGGGAGCCCCGGCCACAGCTTATTGGAACAGGCAGCAGCAGCTGTTCCAGGCCCTGCCCCGGGTGGGTGGCTCTGCGGCAGGGGACTGCCAGGCTTGGGGAAAAGCAGCGGCAGCCAAGATCCCCGACTTCGCCTCCTACCCGGTGGCTCACCGGCGCTTCCTCCTCTCCGCCGCTTGCCGAGATTACCCCTGGTGGGTGTCGGGCTCTGTGGTTCCCAGCTGCCTGGGTTCTGATGCCCCCTACTTGCTCCTGGCCGTGAAGTCATCTGCAGGCAGATTCGGGGAGCGCCAGGCCATTCGAGAGACGTGGGGTGGGCCCGAGCATGGGGTCCGCCTTCTTTTCCTCCTGGGCTCCCCTCGGGGAGAGCCAGGCCCTGACCTGGGTCCCCTGGTGGAGTGGGAGAGTCGTCGATATAGGGACCTGCTGCTCTGGGACTTCCTGGATGTCCCCTTTAACCGCAGCCTCAAGGATGTGCTGTTTCTCCGGTGGCTGGCCCACCACTGCCCCCAGGTGACCTTCGTCCTCAGGGCGGAGGACAACAGCTTTGTTAACATCCAGGCCCTGCTGAAGCTGCTCCGGGGGCTGCCCCCGGCCTCGGCCCGAGGCCTCTACCTGGGCCACGTCTTCGACCAGGCCTTACCCATCCGGACCCCCAAAGGGCCCTACTACGTGCCCGAGACCTTCTATGCCGGCCCCTACCCAGCCTATGCCAGTGGGGGCGGCTATGTGTTTGCTGGGCAGCTTGCCCCGTGGTTGCTCCGGGCTGCTGACAGGGTGGTTCCCTTCCCCATCGACGATGTCTATTCCGGCCTCTGCTTCCAGGCGTTGGGCCTGGCCCCCCAGAATCACCCCGGCTTCCTCACCAACTGGCCAGCCAAAGGCAAGCAGGATAACCCCTGCATCCACCAGCGCCTGGTGCTGGTTCAGCCCCGGGACCCCCAGGAGACCATTCGGCTTTGGAAGCTTATGCAAAACCGGCAGGACCATTGTTGAGGCCTTGGCCGCGGATGGGGGTGGGGTGGCCCTCCTCTGCTCCGGCCCCGCCCTCTCTTCCCATCAGAGGCCCACTCCCTGGAACCTCTGCCTCCGGGGTCACAGCTTGTGAGGGAGGGAGGCTGGGGGCCTGCGGGGATCCAAGGGCCCAGCAGGGGAGGCCCCAGGGCCCAGACTGTCTTCGGCGTCCTGGCAGTGACGCCCTCGTGCTTGGCGCTGAGAGAGGCAGGCTGTATGCAGCTTCTATTTATTTAAAACGCCCCCCTTCCTGAATCTAGCCTCCGGAGTAATTTCTGTTTCTCACTAGGGTAGGGGGCCAGAATCCTCCTCCACTCCACCCTGGGGAGCACAAAGCAATGGCTGGCACTCCCCACTGCACCCCCGGGGGAAAGTCTTGCCCTTGGCACCTGGGCAAGGCCCAGCCAGGGGAAGATGGGTGAAAAACACCCTCCGTCTTCGGAGGGGGCCTGGCCCAGCCCACCTAGCATGGCTTTGCTAGGGAAGGCCCACTTGAACTGGGAGGTGCTTCCTAAAAAGGACCCTGGAGCATGAGTTAGGAAATGGGGACTGCAGTCCCTGCCCTACCTTTCCCCAGGGGGTCTTAGCTTGGGCCTGTGCCCTATGGGCTCTCAGCCTTGGGGTGCCCTTCAAGGGATGGACATCCCAGCTTCAACAGTCTGGGCAGCTATGAGTTGTGGCCTCCAAGCCCAGCTTGAAGCCGTGTCCAAGAGGCAATTTTTCAACTGAAAGCCTCTCCCCCCCCCCATCATTTCCCCCCTTTCCCCTTTCCTTCTACTCACCACCAGCTCCCCAAACAAAAGCTGGGCCTGGCCTGGGCCAAATGCAAAGAAATCTTTATTTGACTCCCCAGCTACCCAAGTGCACCATTTCTGACCCCTCCCAGCCCTGACACACTTTACTCCAAATCCATCTGTTTTCTGGCCCTCCCTAAGGAGCCCTGTCTGCCTCTCGGCTGGGGCTTGAGGGACCAGCAGCCTGAGCTTTCCCAAAAGGCCTGGAGAGAAGGCACTGTCACAGACAGGAGGTGCTGGAGACCACTGTCCTGTCCCCCTCCTGCCCCGACCTTGCCAGGTGCACTGACCACCAGGGAAGAGGGAAGGGTTTCCAAGTTGGGGGACTTGTGTCTGTCTGGAAGCTTTAGACAGACATGGGCTGGCCTCAGCTCCGACCCCCCTGCACCTCCTCCCCTATCAAAGTCTATGGGATGGACTTTACTTATGGCAGGAGGGAGGGAGGGGGGCCCAGCTGGGGCAGACGCCCTGGCACCTCACCCCTCGGCCCAGGGCTGGGTCTGGCCCCTGGCCCTCTCCCTGCTCACTCCCTCACTGCTCAAAATGGTCCAGTGGGTAGTGCTCGCCATAGGCCTGCAGGTGGCGGCTCAGGGCCTCCTGCTGTTTCTGGAGCTGGGCCGGCATCTCTTGGTACACGTCTGAGAAGATGAAGCCAACGGGGGGCTTCAGCTTTCGTTCTGCCTCTTCGAAGGCCTCCATCACCTTCTCGGCATTGGGGGAGGGAAGGGGTAAGAGACAACAGTTTATTAAACACCTACTGTGTGCAAAGTTCCACCCTGGAGTAGAGGATGCCCCGTGTCCTGAGGGAGGTGCTGTCTGGGAGTGCCTGGCATTCACAGCAGAGGGGCTCAAGCTAGGAGGGGATCAGGGGAGACTCGAGGTGGAGGGGCCCTTTCAGGAAGCCCCCAGGGCCAAGGCACAGGACATGTAGAGACCACCGCCGGCAGTCCAGACTGGCCCAAGCAGAGTACCCAGAGGACAGTCGTGAAGGCCTCGAATGTCAGGATCAGCAGCGGGGCCTTCATTTGTTATGCACACGGGGGAGGATTGGCTTCCCTACAGAAAGGGCCATAGGTGCTCAACGGTCAACTATACAGGACGGAGACAGCCGTCTCTTCCTCACAGGGTGACATTCAGAGCTGGAAGGGATGTTAGAGTCGAACCCCCTCGAGCCCCGAGCTCTCGGTTTGGCTCTGTCGTCGCACCCTCTCTGGTCCTCAGTTTCCCCATGTGGACAATGAGGGGTCTGGGCCCTAGCGGCTAACATCTAAAAGCCAGGACACCAGGATGCTCAGAGATGGCTCACCCTGCGCCTGCCGGCTATGGCCGCCCAATTGAGCCGGGGCAGTAACGGAAGGGGGAGGCTGAGTTCAGGCTGGAGCAGCTTCCCTCGGCAATGGGATGAAGACTGACCCATTTTCTGGAGGAGCAGACTCCCAGCCTTGTGCTGGTCACAGGGCTAGTGAGTCCTGGGTAGGCCCTGACTAAGTCCACCAGGCCTCGCCTACATCGCACTGCCCAAATCAGTCACAAAAGGCAAGCTTAGAGCTGGCCAGGACCGTGGGGTCAGGCGCGGCCCAAGGACCACAGAAACGGAGGGCCAGGTCAAGCGACCCGGGCCTCCCTGAACCTTGCTTTCTTCTGTAGGCTCCCCTGCCCCCTGCCCCCTGCTCCGGGGCTGCCGGAAGGCCCAAAGGAGACGGCACAGGGAGCTCTCCCAAGGTGTGCCTGACTGATATGGGCAGCTGCAGCTCTGCTCTGGTGCCCACACTGGGCTCTCCGGCCCACCCACTCCAGGGGCTCTCCTCCAAGGTCCCCTTCCATGTCCCTGGGCTCCCACCTTCTTCCTGGACTGCTTCCGCCAGCCCTTCTCCTGTTCCTCGTCCCACCACCCTCGGCTCAGCATGTAGTGACGCAGCCGAGAGATGGGGTGGTCTTGTTTGTCCCAGTAATTCACCTCGTCCACAGAGCGATAGGCCGAGCTGTCGTCACTGGTGCTGTGGTGCCCGATCCTGTGGGAGGGACAGAGCTGGGGGGAGTGAGGCAGGGGAGGGCAGGGACGGGGGGGGGGAAGGGGGCGGGAGAAGGGGCCATCCGGGAGGCGCCCAGCTGCAGAGGGAGCCCCACCGCACCTGTAGGTCATGGCCTCGATGAGGAAGGGCTGGTTCTCGGCCACTGCCCGCCGCCGCGCCTCTCTGGTGGCATTGTACACTGCAAACACGTCATTGCCGTCCACTCGGATGGACATGATGCCGTAGCCAGGGCCTCGGGCCGCTGTGGAGAAGGGCCGGGTCAGCTCCAGGGAAAACCTCTTGGGAACCACCAAGAGCCCCGGTGCAGTGGGGCAGGGGCATGGAAAAAGCAGGGGCCCATCCTAACTCTTGCTGCCCACCTCGTGCTCAGGGCCAAAGCCAGGGAGAGGAATTAAAAGGATGGGCGGTGGCCGGGCAAGGCAAGAAGAACCCTGGGTGATGGGAAAGGGTGGCCCTGTCAGAGATCTGCTTCACCCTGTCAGAACTGGAGGGAGCCCCTGAGACTCGTCACAGCACCCTGGCCGCTCTGAGACCAGGAGCCCAAGGCCAGCATCCTAGGCCACACAGGAGGCCTCACTCCTGCCCTGCAGCTCTTCAGGTGCCCCTCGTGTGTGGGAGAGGTGCCTCAGGGCAGGGCTATGCCATACCGATGCCATCACCCCGATACTGCTCCGAGGTGGGCGTGGAGATGGCGTAGCCATTGTTGCGGCAGAAGAAGATGATGGGGCATTCCAAGGTGGCAGCAAAGTTGAAGCCGGCATGGGCATCGCCCTCACTGGCTGCCCCCTCCCCAAAGTAGCAGATCACGGCCCGGTTGGAATTGGCCCTCTTTGCTGCATAGGCTGCTCCGACCGCTGAGAGAAGAGGGGAGACGGTGAAGGGTCCATCATCTGGTCTGACCCCACCCCCATTTGGAAGAGGAGGGAGGGGACCCGTGCCCCTGCCGTGCCTTGCACGGAGCGAGGCCGGCCAAGAACCCTGGAGGACCTCTGCGAATGAGGGCCGAGGCGCCAAGGCCTCCCCCAACAGCCAACAGCGGCGCTCACCCTGAGGGATCTGTGTGGCCAGGGGGGAGGAGATGGTGACAAAGTTCCTTTCCTTGCAGCCGTAGTGGACGGGCATCTGGCGCCCCTTGCCGGGGTCGCCTGAGTTGCCGTAGCACTGGGACATGAACAGATTCAGCGGGTAGCCTCGGTACATCAGCACTCCTGGGGAGAAGGAGGAGGATGCAGACCTGGCCACGTCTGGGAGGTGGAGGCCTCTTCCACGCCAACACCATTCCCACCCACAAGAATCCCCAGGGCGTCTTTTTTCTGGCCTCCCTCCCCGAGGACAGTGCCTGGGGTCTGCACGGACCTCCACGGACCTCCCTGTAGCCTCCCATTGGCCCTGCCCAGTCACTATCTCTGTCATGCTCTTTATGCAGCCACGTGCATACACTGGCGCCAATGACCTGCTCTCTGACAGAGACTGACGATGCCCAGATCACCTCTCTTTCTACTTGGTGGGAGGTCGTTTTGTGGCTTCACTGGAGCATGGCTCTACCTGGGACGGAAAGATAGATCTCTGTCCTGGGAGTGAAGTCAGGGACTGCGAAAGCTGGCAAACGCTGACCCTGACGATCCGAACACTGGGCATCCAAAACGGAGCCCTAGAATGGCCCCTGCTCCCTGAACTGGACATGCCGTCTAGCCAGGTTCTCCTGGCTGTGCCCCCTCTTCATCTCTGACGCTCGGTTGAGGTGACGCCTCTGGCATACAGCCTTCTCGGATACTTCTCCATACAGTGCTTCCTCCCTCCCACCTCTTGCCTGGGGGCAGAGTGGATAGAGAGCCAACCTTGGAAGCAAGAAGCCCTGGTTCCGACACAATGCTCTGGGCAGCTGTGGGGCTGGAAGTGAGAGAGAGGGTGCCAGCCTACCTCGGTGGAGAAATCAAGATCCCTGCCCTGTCCCTTTACTGAACGCCCGGCTTATTTGAGAGTGCCTGGGTACAACACAGGCTTCTTGGGGTGTGGGGTCGGGGCACTGCTTCAACACCGATTGATTTGGCATTCCCAATATCCAGTATGTGGCCTTGCTTAATGATCTTAGGGACCACCGTTCCTCCTCATTTACAGGTGGGGAGACTGAGGTCCGGAGAGGAGGGATTGTTCATGGCCACATATGGGTCACACTTGGGTTAGGGTCACACTTGGGTTAGGGTCAAAGCCAACAACCCCTGGGCCCACTGGAAGCTCCCCTCCCGAACTCCTGGCTCCTCCCCAGGGGGAGAATCAAGGTGCGGTTCTAAAAGGGCTACCAAAGAAGTGGGGGGGGGGGGGGGGGGGCAGCAGCCACTCCAGGAGAGCTAGCCCATGGAGATTCAAGGGACAGAAGCTGGAGGGAGGGATCAGTCGGGCCCCAGCAGGGTGGCTGCATCAGACTTTCTTTGTTACTTAGACTGATCAGAGGCAAATTCACAGTGAGTTGGCTTTCCCTGAGTGAGGTGGAGGAGGAGAGATGGCCCCCCACATCGAGGGGGCCGGGTCACTTGCCAGGGAGAGGGAAGCAGAGCTGGAGAGCTGGCCTTGGAGCCAGGGAGATCTGCATGGACACCCTCTGCCCTCCTTGCCCGGGCTTCCCTCTCAGCCTAAGGTAGTGCCCAGTGGCTGATCTCGAGGAGTCCCCTGGCTCACATAAATGCCCCCAAGTCCCTCCTGCTGTGGCTGCTCCTATTTCTGCTGGCTGCCTTTGCCCTGCGGGGCCTGGATGGGCAGCACCATGGGCACGGGGAAGGACCATGATGCACTCGTACAGCCTTCCTGCTTTGCCAGATTGCCCTCGGCTCCAGCTCGTGTGCGTACACGACGTACCTGCCTCCCGGTACTGCCCAAACACCAGGTCTGTGTCATCCAGGGCGGCTGCACTGCCCACGTGGGTGCCCTCCTCCCCATAGTTGGTCATGTAGAAGGAGATCCGGCCCTGCAGGGAGGCAGGGAAAAGAACAACAGGGCCCCAAGTCCCCAGATGGCTTACTGACAGACCCCCCCAAGATCCTTCCACAGGCCCTCTCCTCTTTCCCTCTGGCCACACCAACCCAACAATCACTGCTCCTGGAAGCTCCAACCCTGGGCCAGGCACTGTGCTGGGCTCCGGGGGGGCCTGTCCTCGGGGAGCCACAGTGCTTAGGAAACACCCCAGCCTCGGCTGCAGCCTGAGCTCCCCGCGGGCAGGGCCGGGCATCTTCTCTGGGATCCCCTGTGGTCCCTGGCACTGAGCGGTCAGAGAGCCACTCCAGAACTGGGGCCATCTCAGCCCCCAGAGGAGGGGCCCAGGCAGCCCTGGGACTCCTGTGCCACCCAGGCCTTCAACTGAAGCCTGGCCTTCCCCTTTCTGACATTCCCCTCTTCTCCTGCCCCCTAAGGCAGGTGACCATAAGTCAGCTTTCTGAGCACCTGCACCTTGAGGTAAAGGCCCCAGCCCTCTCTCCCAGGGTCTCTTCTCCCAAGCTCTTAGAGCTCCCATGACTCCTTTGCCTCCCAGGAATGGCCCTGGGGAGAGAGTGAGTGAGTGTGAGTGTGTGTGTGTGTGTGTGTGTGTGTGACCGTGAGTGCTTTAGACAGCCACGCTGCCCCCCATCCCAAAGGGCTGGACCCCACCTACCTGCCTCTGGGACTCATAGAGGATTCGGTCCATGGTGTTCAGAAGGGTCATGCTTTTGTACAGCTTCAGGACCACCTCCTGAGGCAGCTGAGGACAGAGCAAGGGGAAGGGGGGGGGCTTGGCCTGAGCCCTCCGAGCCGGACAGAGGGCTTGGGGGAAAGGCTAAGGGGGCCACGAGACCTTGCAGGTCCTCACCTGGGGGTCCTCGCTGGCATTGATGATCTGTCCCTGGCGATCCATCACCCGGTAGACGGGGATGCCAGAAATGACATTGGGTTTAATGAAGTCTAGCTTATCCACGAACTCGGCAGAGGCACCAGGGAACTGGGGTTTTTCATCCAGGGATGAGAAATCTTCCTGCTGCCACCGGGCGGCCTGAGACAGAGGGGAGGGCAAATGTGTCAGGAGGCTGGGGGGCCCCCACTAGCAAATGTCAGGAAAACCTCCTGTGCTTCTGCAGGGAGTGAGCTCTCCATCAGGGATGCTGCAGAAGGGACATCCCTCTGGGGTCCCTCCCAGGCTGCAGGTGCATGTCCTTGCAGCCCAACTCACATCTTGGCTCCCAAAGGGGTGACGCCCACTGGAGTGTACTGTCCAATTAGTCAGAACCCCATTCCTAGGGAGCTGGCAGCCACCCCTGGCAGAACCAATTACACATAGCCCGCCATGCCCAGGT